ATTAGTCCTTTGGACTATTTGCTTCCTTGAGTCTTCAATTTTCTTTGGTATCCTTTGTTCCGGGCAGGGAGAGACCAATAGCTGCTTCTTAGATGACCGCTCGCAAGCTTTTAAGACCCCAGACACAACTCACCAGGCTAGAATGTAGAACATTATCTTTATGAACTGTGTTTTGCTAACTGACCTAGATGTCCCCTGAGACTATGGTCCTTAGCCTTCATGTCCAGTAGTTCAGTCCCAATTTCTAAGCAGTTTCTATAACTGTACCCCCATATGCTCTATTATGTATGTGAGTATACTACAGCATTTACAAATATTGTATGTAGAGATACCTACAACCATACCTATATGTGTACACGAGTATACTCATGTACAGCCCCCTCACCTATTTAGCATACATATTAGCCTGTGTATCTACTCCCAAATTATTGTTATTACTGTTATTGCAGGATTGTATATGTTTATAGCATTTACTGTAGTTACCCTTTATTTTTGCATACCTTTTAGTGTCTTCCTTTGCATTGGTCACATTGTGCTGACTTCTTTCCCCCATATCATTTATTGCCTTACTCTTCACCAGAATTAACACATGTCTACTACCTAGTGATTCTCCCTCCCTCCCCCTCCCATCTCTAGTAACCATCAAAGAATGTTTCTTGTGTGTAAACCTATTCTTGACTTTTTATAATTGTGGTCTCCTACAATATTTGTCCTTTTGTAATTGACTCATTTCATTTAGTGTAATGTCTTCCAGATTCTTCCATGTTGTGAGATGTTTTGCAGATTCATCATTATTCTTTATTGTTGCATAGTATTTCATTGTGTGTATGTACCATATTTTGTTTATCCATTCATCCGTTGATGGGCATTTAGGTTGTTTCCATGCATATGCATATGTCTATTCGTGTTATGGCTCTTATTTCTCATGGCTGTATACCTAGCAGCCGGGTTGCTGGATCCATATGGTAATTCTATCTCTAGCGTTTTAAGGAATTGCCATACTGTTTTCCATAATGGTTATACCATTTTACATTCCCACCAGCAGTGTATAAGGCTAATCTCCCCACAGCCTCACCGGCATTTGTCTTCTGTTTTTTTAATCAGTGCCATTATTGCCCGGGTGAGGTGGTATCTCATTGTAGTTTTGATTGGCATCTCTTTAATGGCTAATGATCACAAGCATCTCTTCATGTGTTTGTTAGCCATCTGAATGTCTTCCTGTTGAAGTGTCTCTTCATGTCCTTTGCCCCCCCCCTTTTTTTTTTTTTGGTATTCCAATAAAGTTTTATTTATGGACACTGAAATTTGAATTTCATACACTTTTCACATGCCATGAAATGTTATCTTTCTTTTTACCAACCATTTAAACATGCAAAACCATTTTTAGCCCACAGCTGTACAAAAAAATAGGCAGTGGGGATATCTTTGGCCCATGGGCTGTAGTTTGCTGACCCCTGATAGACTATAAAAAAGAAACAAATAAATAATATAAATTCAAGTAGTTGTGAGTGCTACGAAAAAGAAGTTCAGTTATATAGACCAGATATTTTTCCAAGAAATTCTGACTTCTGAGGCTGGTTAATGTGTGTTATTTGGCTGCAGAGACCTCTTGAAAAAGTTTGGGAAACCCCAGGTTAGATAAAATGAAACAAGTTTTATCTATTTCTGTAGGCCAGCTCAGCCTTTTATATGCATGGCTAGGGTGGAAATAAGGATTGGGGTTAGGATTGGGTGTTACTATGAAGTATTTCCCACATTTATTAGCTTATAGAATTCTTTTGCCATGGAGCATCTCATGGGACTAGCTTTTCATAGATCCTTCTTTGGGAAGCAGGAACCTACCATCACCAACCAACTATAAAGTAAGCAAAAAAGGCTTGTGAGCTTTGAAAATCCCACATGATCCTGTAAAATGTATGTATTTAACTCACAAGATATCTCCCAGGCTTTTTCTAAGAGCCTTTTTGTTCCTTAATCTTAGAAATTATTCTAACAAATTTAGTTATCAGGTTTTTCAAGTCCAGCAGGTTAGAAGCAAATAACTAGAAGAACGGGGAAAAGGGTCTACAGGCAGACATGCTGACAGTTCTGATAACCTGAGTAGGTAGGAGACAGAAATAGTTTCAAAAGCAGCTGGAGCTTCTTACGGAGGGGTAAAAAGGTTTTAACTTGGTAGTTCCTGACGGCATCATCATGTGATATAGTAGAGATAATAATTATTGTTCACTATTATTGCTTTGAATTTCCACGAAAAGATTAACACTATCCTCTTTAATAAGGCAGCAAAATATATGGTGCATTTTAGAAAAATTGTATCAAAAATAAAAGTAAAATAAATTAATACTTAGGTATAAACTTAAGATCCCTTAAAGAATTGAAAATCTAATGAATTGGTATGAAATTCCTGCTGTGTTCCAAATACTGAACTACACTTTGGTGTACTTCTTTCTTCAACTTCTATTATTGTTTTGTGTTTTTAAAAAAATTTTGTACATTCGGTAAAAATTTACAGAGCAAATTAGTTTCCTTGGCCCATTTTTAAATTGGATTGTTTGTCTTTCTGTTGTTGAGGTGTTGCAGTTTTCTATAAATTTTAGAGTTTAGCCCCTTGTCAGATATGTTATAGCCAAAAATTTTTTTCCAGTCTGTAGGTTCTCTTTTTAGTCTTTTGGTGAAGTCTCTTGATGACCATAAGTGTTTAATTTTTTAGGAGATCCCAGTTATATAGTTTATCTTCTGGTGTTTGTGTATTTTTAGTTATGTTTGGTATACTATTTATGCCGTATATTAGGGCCCCTAGTATTGTCCTTATGTTTTCTTCCATGATCTTTGTATTTTTAGGTTTTACATTTAGATCTTTGATCCATTTTAAGTTGGTTTTTGTGTATGGTGTGAGGTATGGATCTTGTTTCATTTTCCTACAAATGGATATCCAGTTTTGCCAGCACCATTTGTTAAAGAGACTTTCCTTTCCCCATTTAACGGACTTCAATCCTTTGTCGAAGATTATCTGTCCATAGGTGGATGAATTTACTTCTGTATTCTTAGTTCTGTTCCATTGGTCTATATGTCTGTCCTTGTACCAGTACTAGGCTGTTTTGACCACCGTGGCTATATAGTAGGTTCTGAGATCAGGGAGTGTGAGGCATTCTACTTTGTTCTTTTTCTTGAATAATGCTCTGTTTATCCGGGGCCTTTTTCCTTTCCATATAAAGGTGGTGATTCGTTTTTCCATCTCATTAAAGAATATTGTTGGAATTGGATTGGGATTGCATTATATCTGTATATCGCTTTGAGTATTATTGACATTTTCACAATGTTAAGTCTTCCTATCCATGAGCATGGTATGTTTTTTCATTTATGTAGGTCTCTCTTGGTTTCTTGCAGTAGTGTTTTGTAGTTTTCTTTGTATAAGTCTTTTATGTCCCTAGTTAGATTTATTCCTAAGTGTTTTATCTTTTTGTGGGCTGTTGTAAATGTTCTTGTTTTCCTGATTTCCTTTTTGGAGTTCTCACTGTTAGCGTGGACGAATCCAACTGATTTTTGTATGTTGATCTTGTACGCTGCCACTTTGCTGAATCTTTCTATTTGTTCCAGTGGCTTTCTAGTGGAGTCTCTGGGATTTTCTATGTGTATGATCATGCCATCTGCGAACAGGAATAGTTTTACTTCTGCCTTACCAATTTCATACTCATTAAATTTTGAGGCTTTTTATAAGGCAAATTTCCAGTAAAATTGATTGCCCCAAAGTTTGGGTAGTAATAGAATCATTCACTTGATTTTCCTTATTAATTTTCAAAATGTCCACGATTTAAAAAATCATTACAGGGTGTCAAGTTATCTATTTTATAACAGTGTTTAAGATATATATTCTGCAAATATATAGATACTGCCTGGAAATGAGAAGTGGCAATTAAATTTCTTGGGGAGATTGGGATTTATGCAGGCAACTGTCACAGGTACTCAGGAATCAGAAGTTGTAACTGGGGAGTAGGGTGGGAGAACAGACATTGTAGACCTCTGGAGAGCTGCTCCAGAATAGTGAAACCAGCCTATCCTGATACCGAAAACAAAAAACAAAACAGAAAAAAAAAACAAACCCATTGCCATCAAGTCGATTCCGACTCAGAGCGACCCTATAGGACAGAGTAGAACTGCCCCACAGGGTTTCCAAGGAGCGCCTGGTGGACTCAAACTGCCTTTTGGTTAGCAGCCAAACTCCTAACCACTACACCACCAGGGCTTCCCCTATTCTGATAGAACATTCTTAACTCAGCTCTCCAGAGTAGCTGGACTGGTAGAAACACAAACAAATTTTAAGTGAAGAAACATGGGTTCTAATTCCAACTCTGTAATTCGCTTCCTTCCACGCATCCACAAATTATTTAATCTTCCTGTTTCTCAGTGCTTACATCAGTAAGTTCCGTCCAGCTCTAAAAATCTTAATTTGCTCCCCAGGGGACAAAACGCTATTTTTGTGAATCCAGGGCTATTCTTGTGAATACCTGTGAGTAGATGGGAAGGAATTCATTCTTGTTGGGAACCATCTGGGGAAAATAATAGGAAGATTCTTCATACCAGTTCAGTTTTCTAGGGAAAATGAGCTCCCAAATCCTGGATTATTTTCTTTTGATAAATTAAAAATGGTTAAATTCGATTACGTATTTGTATGCTGTTTTGCCTGGGTCAGAGATATATTCGGAGTTTTTTCTTTCAACGTTCTAGAAAATGACAGGTTGGATAAGGATGCATAAAGCTTAAAGAGTTCAAGGAATTTCTTAAGCGTAAATACAGCGATTACTTGAGTGGGGAGAATAACTAGCTGCAAACCCTTCTTGCTTTTAAGAGACTAAGTTACTTTTAAGGAAACGTGGGGCTCGGCTTAATTAAATGCTTTAATTAAGTCAAAATTAAACGTTTGCCTTTTCTGGCTTGAGAAAGCTGGTTGGGGTTGCTTTCTAAACCTACGGAATCTGACTGCTCTGCGTTCGATTTGTTAGGTCTGGGTCAGTGTGCTGAACTCTGCTGGCAGCTGAGAGGGGAAGCCGGAAAAAGGCAAGTTCCTGGTGCAAAGGTTGCTCTGCAGCATAATATAGGCCTTGGAGGCGCTGTGGTTGTAACGGTGTACAAGATGGGTTTTCCTGAAGCAGCCAGGTAAGTGACACTCTGGGTCTGGTCTGGCAACTAATCTATGGTTTTCACAGTTGATGACGTCTTATGTGTAAAAAGTCCAAGTTTCATTGTCTCAGTACTGCATACAGTAAGTATCTCATTACATGGCTTTAATAACATGGCTTTAAAACTAGCCATTAGCTTTTAAACTTAACCAGAAAAGTTTTAACTTTAACGTTAGGAAAATCCTGTTCAAAAAGGAAGCAGCATAGTTAAAGAGAGTGCCAGATACTGGTCCCAGCCCCACCACCTGAGTAATTTAGACGAGTCACTTTTTGGTTTGCTTTCCCACAATTTGCTTTAGTGGTCACTGTAGCCTTCCAGGCTTCTGAGGTTGTTTAAAAGTCATCAAAAATGCTGATTGCATCTTTGAAAATTTATGTTTCTGAATCTAGCTAAGCCCTTACTGCTGCTAGAATCCTTTTTATTTGTCTCTTGCTGACTTTATTCATCTTTTGCAAATGCCTGCTCTCCTCAAGCCTCCAAGCACTTTCTTTCCCATCCGCTTCAGGATCACTCAACTTCCTTGCTCAACTGTCTTTAAGAAGTGTTCCTTTTTCCCAGAGGAATAGAGCCTCTCTTCTTTCGAAGACCCAGCTCTCCTCCTTACATACTTTTGTTTGCAACCACTTTCTGTAACTCTGTTCCAAGTATAGCCTCTCTCTTTTCAGTCTTGCCATCTTTCCCTTTCCATTCCGTCTTTCCCCTCTGTCAGCAAACATGTTCAGGTCTTCCCTATTCTAAAAAATCTGTTTTTCTCCTTGCCTTAATTATTCTTTTTCATGATGAACCTTTTATACTGAGTCACCTTTGTTTTCCTGTGCTGTAATACCTGGCACAATCTAGTTTTCCTCCTCTTCACTGAGGTCAGGTAAGACTACCAACGATGTGATTATGAAGTTGAATGTCCTTGTCTTTATTGTCAGTCCTCTTTCCTTTCAGCCGTGCTGTAGCTTTTTACACTAATTGGCTACCTTTTTTCCTGAAAGTCGTGGGAATTGTTTATCCATCTCATCACACACTTCTTTTTTAGAATCTATTATATTCCACCTTTTACAAGCTCTTGGGCCTTTTCTCCTCTCTGCCCTCTCACCCTTCTTTCTCTGTCTCGAATATCATTTCTGTTGTGAAAATTCTTATCTTTTATTTATAGTCCATCTCAGGTACTATCTCCCTTTAAATATCACAGCACTTTGTCCTCACAGGTCCCTATCCAGTTTTGGTTTGGTTACAGTGTACCTAGATTGTTTTTATTCCCTTTATTATATGAAATCCTTGAGGCCTAAGACTGTGACTTACTTCCCTCTACCCTGGAGATCTCTCATAGTAAGTAAATGTTATTGAATTGAATCAAATAAAAAAGTATTAAATCTTACGTTTCCTCCTAAATCTGCTTTGTTGCTTCTGTACTGTCCTCTGTCCATCCAGTTCATATTTGGAGTTGATGAAAACCTTCAGAAAAAGTTAAACTATAAACAGGTATCATAGCACATTAGTGTAGCTCTGAAAATTGCTCAGAGTTGAAGGTTATGAATTTTTGGTAACAGATTCTATTTAAAATGTAGAATTCTTATAGACTTTTTATTTTCAAAAGACTAAATAATTGGGAGAAGGAATTGTTTACAGTAACCAGGGTTGATATTTCTGGAAAGTCAGAAGCATGAAAAAAATCCAGATGATATATTAACGACTGATAAGAAATAAGTTTGAAATATTGCAGATATTACTGGTAGTTTTGGTGATAGAACATAACTCACTCCAAAGGTCAAACCTGGGAAAGGAATTCTAACTCTGATGTGCAAATATCATTTTAAAATGCTATTGTAGTTTGGTTTTAAACAAAGTAATTTTAAGGCACCCACTGCACAGGATCTGATCTGCTCAGTTACTCAGCTAACTTTGATGGAACAACTGCTACATGCTTAGGCCTCCCAAGCATGAGCCTCTGAGATGTGGGAAAAGCAGACATTTTTTTTTTTTCAAAATGCTATAGAATCACAGAGGGAGAAATTATTATGAAGAAGATAAATTTGAGCTGGGATGACTAAGATTACCCAGTAAAAGGGTAGGGGAAGGGTGCTCTAGGCCTATTCCTAGACATAGAAATTTGAGATTACAAGGAGGTTTGGTGAGTGGTTGTGCGTGTGAGCGGAGGGACAGAGTTAGTAGTGTATGGGTGACAGGAGATGCAGCTACGAAACACTTCAAATGCTATGCCCAAGAATATGAATGAGGTTTTAGCAAAAGATCACATGATATTATATTGCACTTCAGGTAGATCAGTCTGGCATTCTTCTAGTTGGATAGTGGCAATACCAGAGACCAGGAATTCTTAGGAGGCTGTTAAGTAGTGCAGGTAAGAAATGTTTAGTATTGCAACAAGGGCAGTAGAAATGGAGAGGAGAGGTCAAATTTAAGAGCTCTGACCAGTTGGATTTGAAGGGTGAAGAAGGAGTTAAAGATGATTTATTTGATATGACTGGGTAATAGTGATTCTATTGGCCTATCATGAGAAGACACCAGAGGAAGACAAGCTTTGAGGGAGAACATGCGTTTCACGCGTGTTACTTTTGAGGTACTATGGATCATCTAGATAGAAATGTCTCAGTAGGCAGGAGACTATATGGATCTAGAATTCAATAGAGAAAGCTAGGCTGGAAATTTAGTCCTCAGCATGTAGGACTAGGAGTCCTCAGAATGTAGGTGTATCTGAAGTTGTAGATTTGTGTAAAATTGCTTAGAGAGTGGCAGGAGGGAATTGTTGAGGGGAGGTGCAGATAGAAATGTTGGAAGAAGGAAATAGAAAATATCTGCTATCTTCTGCTTCTATTAATATTTTCTTCTCTTCTTAGAAGGGCTTATTGAGGGCCAGCCTGAGGTTTCTTCCAGTGAACCTGATTGTTGCCCTTGGCAGCAGCTTCCAGGGGGCGCATCCCTATTGAAGGGGAAACATAAAAAGGATAGCCTTAATAGCAAATATTTTTTTTTACAGTCTCTAGGGCAGATTTTCTCAACTTTTAAACATATGCCCCTGGCATGTAATACTTTCTCCTTTTATCTTGTTTACCCAAGAAGATTTTGTTGGGCTTTATTAGTTTTGTAGTTTATGTTATAGAAAAGGTAGGCATACTAAATACGCTTTTTAAAACTACCCATGTCTGCCCCCTTCCATTCTGATGTAATCCTTTAGGGGAATATCACTGGCATATTCTTCCACACGTTACTGTATTGAGAATTGTTGCTTAGAGCAAGGGTTGGCAAACTTTTTCTGTAAACGGCCAGATAGTCAGTATTTTAGGATCTGTAGGCCATATGGCCTGTCGCAGCTACTCGTTTCTGTTGTTGTACCATGAAGGCAGCCACAGACAAAATACAGATGAATAGGTGTGGCTGTGTTTCAGTAAAACTTTATTTATAGAAACAAGTGGCAGCAGTCACAAAAGGACAAATATTGTATGATCCCACTTACGTGGAATGTCTAGAATAGACACATGTATGGAGACCAAACTTTATTAGTGGTTACCAGGGGTGGGAGGGAGGAAGAGTCATTGCTTAGGGGGCACTGAGTTTCTGTTAAGGGTGATAGAAAAATTTGAAATTGGATGGTGGTGATGGTTGCACAACATGATGAACGCGATTAATGTCACTGAATTGTACATGTAAAACATGTTTAAGTGGCAAATACTTTGTTATATATATTTTTACCACAAAAAACAAGTGGTCGGTAGGCTAGATTTGGCACACAGGCCATAGTTTGCCAACCTCTGCTTTAGAAGTTAATAATCTTTTCCTAGGGAAACTCAACAAGTTTATTTTACCTTGGGAACATATATCTAAATATGCTTTGTATGTCAACATAGGCAGCTAGTTGGTTAGAAATTGTCAAGTTAGAAATTCTGCCTGTTAGGTAATCAGTGCATCCCCGATGAATAAGCATGCTTTCATCAAAGAAGGAAACTTGCAGAGGCAAGCTCAATATTTGAGGTTACTTTTGCTCTAGAAGTGTCTGCCAGTTCTGAGAGAGGTAGACGAGAGACCGAGAAAGGTGTGTAGAGCTTTGGACAGCCTCATAGGGCCAGGGAAACAAAAATGGAAGTCTAGGACCCACCAAAGAGTAGAGGCCCTGGTTACCCCTCATGCTTTGGATTGGGACCTGAAACAGTTGTACTTTAGGAATAAGTGTGAATTTGGAAATAGGCCCACACAGGGACTCAATCCCAATTTCAAATCATACTCATCTGAAATTAGATTAAAGGGATTTGAGAGCATTAGTGCCCCTACCTGCCTGCTTGAAGCAAAAGAAATATCTTTGAAGAAAGATAATATCATCCTGGGCCTCAATTTTTTTCTACATATTATCATATATAATGTCCAGCATGTAGTAAAAAGTAATCAAACACACAAAATGACAGGATAACATGACTGAAAACCAAGATAAACAGACCTACAGGGGATTCACATAACAGAATTATCAGACACAGACTTTTAAAATGACCAATGTGAATGTGTTCAGGGAGCAGAGACAGTATTGAAAACTTTGACAGAGAACAGTGAATTAAGAAAAAGGAAACAAAGCATAAATTACGGAATTGAAAAATAAGATTATCAAAATTAAGATGAATGAGTTTAATAATAGATTTCCACAACTGAATAGAAAACTAGTAACTTAGAAGATAGTCCGAAGGAAATATCATGAGTGAAGCACAGAGAAACCGAAGGATGAAAAATACAGAAGAGAGGGAAGAGACAAAAAGAGATGTAGTAAGAAGGTCTATCATACATTCAATTGGAGTCCTGGAAGGAGAGGAGAGAAAGAATAGAGCATAAACAATATTTGAAGGCATAACGTCTGAGAGTTTTCCAAAACTGACAAAAAGACGTCAAACCACAGATTCAAGAATGATCATTAGCAAGATATATAAGAAGAAAGCCGGGATTTCCGGCAAAATGGCGCTCTAGGCAGAAGCCCCACGCCGTCCCTC